AGTATGACAGAAATTGCAATTTGTTTCCTGATATCTGATTATACATTTCCCATGGTAATAGAACCCCTGTCTTCTTTCTGACATATGGCTCTCCAAAGTAAGGTCTATATATCCTATCCTACCTTTTTTCTTTCCTTTTGTCCTTCTTGTTGGCAGAAAAGATGTGAACACGGTAGCTGGAGCTATAGCAGCTATCCTGAACTACATGAAAACATTAGGTTAGAAGCTTAGATATAAAGGCAATGCTAAAAAATACTTTAAAATATTATAGAAGGAACATATGTGTAGTACGTTCTTTACTTCCCCCTTTAACTTATGGATTTTCACTAAGGTGACTGGAATATATAATTTTACATTGTTCATTGTATTCATGATTGTTAGATATTTAAATCTATAGATTGACCTTATGGTTAACTAAGGCAATTGAGAGTATTATATTTTTGTAATATCCTGCAATAGAAATCTCTAGTGTAGGGTTGTCGAACTCAATCAGAGAAGGGGCCAAAATCTAAAATCCAGCCTAAATCTTGGGCCGAATGGTTTACTGAACAGTCATAAACTGTCATTGTGATGGAAACGCAGCGGAGTGCAGTGATGACAGCGCTGTGCGGGCCACATTGCAAGGCCTGGCGGGACGGATTTGGCCCGCGGGCCTTGTGTTTGACACATGTGCTCTAGTGGAAATGTAGGAAAACAGCAAATATATCCCTGTAAAAAGGCAGAGATACATTTATTTAAATTTTTAAAATCACCTGTATAATAAATGTAAAAGGAAGGTACAATGTAAGGCAACATATTAAAGAGGATTTCTAAAATCTTACAGTTCAACATAGTCCACTAAGAAAATGTTCCTTGTCTATACTAGAACACATAAAATAGAAACTGGAATGTTTTGAATTAGAGTTTACCCCTTAGGGTATAAATTACTTGGCTTCCAAATTTAGTACTATTTGACAGATACTAAAATAGAAATATTCCTCTTTTCATAGATATTCTTGGGATCCATAGTGTGAAATTAATTTTTATTGTGAAAGTATATCCTTGACCTATAGAGTTAGAAAAATTATTTGGTAAGAAGAAAAATTTGGCAATATTAAATTCTTAGAAATTACAAGAGCAAGGTCTGTTTCCTCTCCACTTTATTTGAACCATAGTAGTTTTAGATTTATTTGCTTTCTATACTAGATTTCAGTACATTTTTTTAAAGAAAGGATTCTTGTTTCCGATAAGAGTGAAGAATAAAATGCATGTTTCAAATTTTGCTTCATACTCAATTAAAATTACAGTAGAGTGTTTTTTTTTTTTTAAATGTATAAAACTCCAAGTATAAGGCAAACAAGAGAGGTGAAAATTTCAACAAAATTTCTGTTAGGATTAATTATATGAACAAATGATAGTTAACTAACCAGATTGGAAAATAAATAGAATCCCTACTGCACAGTGTGAAAAGTTGATAACTAACCACATTATTTTTATCACAAAATCTTCAAAGGGACAGGAACCAGCTGAGCCATGTACATTCATGATTAGCAGTGCAGGATGAAAAATAGAAGGAGGACTTCTTAAACAGTTTGAAAGGAGTAGGTCCCCATATTCTCCTTCCTCTTCTTTACACCTGGGAGCCTGTTCTGTACCAACTTAGCAAAATAATTGGGAAGTATTCTCAAAAAAAAAGAAACAAAACAAAACAATTCCAGACTAGAGGATACAGGCACAATGAAAGATTAAGTACTACATTTAAAACAGGGTGATGTGACATTAGTTATTCTGAACGCAGACTGCATTGATCTCAAGATCTCTTAACCCATGATTACACAACATTGGCAGTCAGGGCCTTAATCTACATGTGAGAAATTTAAAAATATTTCTCAGGAGACTATGAAATGCCCAAGAGAAAGGATATTTTGAAGGATTTCATCAACAAATAGCCCCTCTAGATGAATCTAGATATTAGATATTCTCATATTAGATATTCTCCCCCTACTCTGCTCTATATATACAGTTTTCAAATCAGATTTTCATCCTCCTCTTTTATTCATTAATACAATACTAATAATAACAAACATATGAAGAAAATCTCTAATATGAAAGAAAAAACATAAACAAACAAAAAATGCAATTGGGAGGAAATTGAGGTCTTTTCAGGAAGAAAGAAAAGTTATAAGATTATTATTAATGACTTCAGGAATTTAAGAGAAGATATCAAAGCCATGAAATAAGATCACGCAGAAATTTAAACAATCAGCAGAAATGGAAAACTCAGTATAATATTTGAAAGATAAAAATTACATAAGTGAGCCGAAACCGGTTTGGCTCAGTGGTAGAGCGTCGGTCTGCGGACTGAAAGGTCCCAGGTTTGATTCTGGTTTAGGGCATGTACATTGGTTGTGGGCAAATCCCCAGTGCGGGGTGTGCAGGAGGCATCTGGTCAATGTTTCTCTCTCATTGACTTTTCTAGCTCTCTATCCCTCTTTCCTCCTCTCTGTAAAAAATCAATAAAATATATTTTAAAAAATTACATAAGTGAGAAATAGGGAAACAAAGGTTAATAAATTTAGATGCAACAGTTCAGAACTTCCAATGTTGACAGTAGCTTTTAGAGTAAGCAGAGAAAAGGAAAACATCAAAGAAAGATTTTAGAAAATTTACTCCAGTTGAAGGACAACATTAGCCAAATTTAAAAACTCAGCAAGCACCCAGCACAATGGATGAAAGTAGATCAATGTTTATCATTGGGCTGTTTCATGAAGCTGAGGAAAAAAAAAATAGATCAAACGAATCTAACAAAGAGTAAAAACAAACAAATATAAACAAAACTTACATACAAAGAATCAGGGATCTGAATGACTTCAGGTTTATCCACTGATGGCTGGAGGAATGAAAGCAATGAAAGCATATCTTTAAAATTATCTAAGAAAATGATTTTCAACCTAGCATTCTATACCCAGAAAAACTAATAATTTTTATGACAGTGGAATAAAAGTGTTGTTAGACTGATAAAATACATATATATCATTCGTGTTTAGTACATAAATTCATTCAATTATAAAAAACTCATTTTTTTAAATGATGTTCAAAATATTTGATATTATAACTAAAAAACTATACTTATGATTTTTTTTATATTTATGACATAGAATATATCCTTTTAGTAATTAGGATAATATATTCCCATTCTGATCACAGTGATTTAGTTGTAAATATGCGAATATCTCTCCTTGATATTCTCATAGCTGCTAGACTTACTTAGCTTGGTCTTTCCATCTGGTTAGGGTTTTCTAGTTTGGGTATGTGAATAGATCCCTCTAGTGATCCATTCTAATTAGAGTGATTTGTGGAATATGATTACCCAATGATTAACTGGAGTTATCAGGTTATATTGTTGACTAGAACAATTGTTCTCTTGAGAGTTACATTAGAGAGTAATGTTTATTCCAATATGTTATCTTCCTAGAAAGAGGAGACATTTATTTTTAAATGAAATTATTTTGAAGATAATTTAGATTTTGTTAAGAACAGTATCTCATGTATGTATAATCACTAGTGAGTAGGTACCGTATTTTTCGGACCATAAGACGCACTTTTTCCCCCCCAGAAGTGGGGGGGAAAAGTCCCTGCATCTTATGGTCCAAATATAGCCTACACATATACTTTAAAAAAAAAAAGTTTTTTTACTTGCCCGGCTCTGTGTGGTCTCTGTGTGCTTGCCCGGCTCTAAAATAGTTCTAAATGCTGCTGTTTACTTTACAGGGTTGATTACATGTGTTTATGACTGTGATGTTGGGTTTTAATGCACATAAAATATTTTAGGACACTATTTGTTTCAGAATCTTTTTTTCTTCATTTCCCTTCTCTAAAAACTGGTGCGTCTTATGGTCCGGAGCGTCTTATGGTCCGAAAAATACGGTAAATATCTGTTTTGGCAATAATATAGAAACCTTTTAGGAAATGGATAAAATTAAATATTATGCATTGTTTAGATATTTAAAATTATCTTTATATTTAAAATATAGCAGGTTTATTAAATTTTTCAATTTTTAAAATTTAATACTTCAAATGGTTGCCAAATTTTACCAAAAATCTAATTATTTCCTGACTACTTAAAAATAATTATAATTTCCTGACATTAAAATTGTTCAATATATAAAGAATTAAAACTAAAAAGTGCTTTAAAGCCTGATTAGTATCTGATTGACAAAAAGCTTAATATTCTCCAAAATCTGAACATTTTATGAAATTTTATTTTATGTTATTTACCACTAAAAGTACAATGCTGAGATTTTTAGCAGTGAATTGTGTAACTCTAAAACTAAATTTTGAGATAAAATTATTATCAAAATCTAAATTTTAATTTAAAATGCCCCCAACATTCAAAATTTTGAAAACACTTGGACATTCAATTTTTAGTTTATTTAGATGTTAGTAATTTGGTTTTGTAACTTTTTGCAGTTTAAAAAATACATCACATAATTTTCTTTTGGTCAGGTGCTCTAGTTATAATGGATATTTTAGTAAATTATATGTTATAGCTTGTGATTTAAATATAAGAGGTTTGTTAAGATGATAACATTTAAACCACACACATTATTACTAATTGTTGAAACTGAGCCTATCATGTCCTCTCCCTTTGCTGAGTTACATTGATTTATCAATGCACAAGGAGGTCTTAAATTGGACATCAGTTCAACTTCAAAGATAATATCAGTAATCATTGTACAGCCTATACACATAGTTAATAACCATTGTACAGCCTATACACATAGTTAATAACCATTCAGAAAAGAGGTAAGATGAAGTACTGTTGCCTCTATAACTGCTATCCTAAGTCTAACAATTACACCCTAAATCTCATCATCCAACCTTTTTTCTTCTTTTCTCCAGGTAGTTGGGATGCGGCCATCCTTGAAGACCTAAGAAGATCCAGGAAGTATACTTCTCTCAATGCAATGAAGATGTTGTGCGTTCACTTATATGTACAAAAGAAAAATGAAAGTCAAAGCTGAACGTAAAATGGACATAATTTTAATGATATTTTTTAAATTTTGTGCATTGGATTCAAACAGCAAACTGTGTGCACTCAACTGTTATCACAATGTTGTCAAGAAGTCTGTGTCTTTTACCATTTTACACACAATTGTTCATTACAGTATGTTATCAGCCTCATGGAAACCAGGGGTGTGGCATGGTAAGCAGTGGTGGTAGTGCACCTAACTTTTATATTATCTAACTTGAAAATATTTCTCTTCTATGATTCCTTTTTTTTTCTTGATAAAAATAGTTTTCACCAAACGTTGGTGGTGCACACGCACTACCATTCATGCTTGACATCAACACCCCTGACAGGAACACGTGTTCTTATTTTGTTGATAAAAAGTATTACAAAAATTTCCATACAAAAACTATTTTCATAGAAATCTTGCATTTCCACAAATAAACCTGAACATTTTTTGGAAAAAAAAAAAAACTGCTCAAGAATTTTGTTCATTTAACACCGTGACTGTATTGATAAATGCAGTCCACTTCAAAGTTCTCTGCACATCCTTTTCTACAGATGACCAGTCCCCTCTTTCCTTTCACCGAGGTCTGCCCGGGCTCCATCAAGTTCATTTATAGCAGGAACTAGGGTTTGGATGAACACATTTGAATGTTAAAATGGAAGCTTCACCTTCCACATCACTATCAATACCCATTCCTCTTTTATAACGTAAGACAAAGATTGCAAAATACTATCCTTTTCAATTCAGAATCTCTGAACCAACTGTTGCTTTTTATTCTTGGTGTGAGGTTGGAGGAAGGGGGACGGGGTGGGGTGAGGATAGGTGGCTAGATAGGGATCCGGTAGAGTTACATGTCAAATCACCTGCAGGTGAATTTAAGAAAAACAAAAAACAAAAACCATTATTGCCTTGGTAATTGACATCTCTATCTCAACCAGTGACACAGACTTTTAGAAAAGAAAGAAAAACACTGATGAAGATATGTTTTATATTCCACTTGCCATGAAATTCAGATTTGTTGTGTGTTACATTTTTTTTTTCACATCCTATCAACACATATTGTCTATTCAGATGATCACTGAACTGAGTTGTTGGGGGCTAATAACATCACCACCTCTATTATCTGGGTGTTCAGAAGACCGTACTGTTTCTTGTCATGCTACAGGTTGTTGTTGTTGTTTTCTTTTCTTTCTTTCTTTTTTTTTTTTTTTTTCTGATTCCAAGTATTTTTATTCTTACTGACATTTTTACTGGTTACCTTTGGGGCATTGATATTCCATCTCCTGGCAACAGTTGGACTTCAAAAAGAACCTGTAATTTCTTACTGGACTGCATTTGAAACCAGTCACAAGATGTGCCTGTCACATTCACTCAGAAGAAGGGAGGAACCCATGATAAACAGTATAACCCCGTGTAACTTGGTTGGTCCATGATGCTTGTAAATCAAGTCTGATCACTGCAACTGCTCAGATCACAGAGTCTCTAGTTCATAGACACAGCGGCATGAGGTAACTCATTTTATTTTGCACAGGTTGCATATTTCCACAGGAAACATTCTCGCTAAATTGTTTGGAAAAAAAAAAAAAAAGACGACAGTTTGTGCTTGGGTGTGTGGCCTCCCAGCTTTATGCCATGGTTTCTTTACCTGGCAACCTTCTGTCGTTAAATGTGTGCATGTTGATGACTTCTTCTGTTTTCACAATAACGGGGGCCTGTGGCTTGTGTTTTAACCGTCGCTGGCACTTCAGGGACATCCTCAGTTCTTCCACCATGGCGCTACAGAAGGATCTCTACAGAACAACACAGAAAATGAAATGTTACCAAACAGATAAACTCTCACTGTGCAGAGACAAACTAAAATAAATCTCAACAGACTTTCAACGTAACCAGCCTTGAAGGTTTGAAATATTTCAATAAGAAGGTTAGAACAAATTGTCACACTTTTAGTAGACAACACATGATAATTAATAATATTTTATAAAAGTGGACTAGTTTAAAGAAAATCTCCACTTGATAGTGAAATGAACTACCAACTGGAATGCATATAAAGCACATGTAAAGCTTTATAGGTGTAAAATTAATTAGAATAAAAACATATATCTGTCTACCTTAAAATTGAAATATAAATACATATACACAAATCAATAACCAGAAATCCAATCTTAATATTTGAAAATAGAAGAAATGTACTACTTTTTAGATCACAACACGAGATATGAAAATTTTCTTTAAACATAGATTTGTTTTTCATTTTCCATCTCAAAACAGAACAAAAATATAACACTGACAAAGACATAAAAATATGGAAAATAACTTCTGGTATTCATTATACCTTTTTGTTTGGATTAGGCTTATAAAACTATCGCCGATGATTACAAACAAATATATGAAATAACAAATTGTAGCACATTAAAAATCCATGAAAATATATTAACATTTTTGTCATTGTCAGCTTGATAACTGAGAGTCAATAAATAATTTATCCCATGCAGAAAAAAATGACCTTATAAATATTTTTAAATTTTCATCCCATTAGCAATAGATTTGCTAGAAAAAAATAGTATATATGGGGCTCATTATTACAAGCTCCTCAAAATTCCAATACAAAGTCATATCTGTGCAACAAAATTTATTAGTCTCCCTCCCCAGCTAATTGAGATACATATGTTAGTTACATATAAATAAGATTCATAAACCAGTTATATATTGTAGTTGAAATTCAGATGGGTTGAGACTGATGTTCTTTCTGCGTGAAAACTAAAAATGTGGAAAACAACCAAAAATGTGAACACGGATGAAAAATTAACACAATTCCAGAAAGTGATATGAAAACATAACTAAATAAGCCTAATCAAATATGCATATGAGGACTTATTTTTTTTTTACTTAAGTTTTATTTCTTTGCTGTTTATCAAGTTAAGCTAATTCCAAAAGAATAGAGAATAAAAATATTTAATACTACATACGTTCCTTAGGTTTCAAATATTTTGCACACACATAATCTTTTGTGACAAACTAACATTTTAACTAAAGTAGGCCTCTATCTAACAGAGAAAATTGATTCAGAGAGAGGAAAGTCACTTTTTGCAGCTTACAGTGGAGACTCCAGCAAGGTATCCTGATAACCAAGTTTGAAACTTTCGATCCTAGTACCTCTTGTCCATTCCTGACTATCTCATCACTTTTCTTTTAAGGATTCCTGAATAGCTTCCTAAATAGTCTTCCCAACTCTTTAGCAGATTCCTTCACCAAAGGTTCATAATTATTAGCATAATCTATTTTTCAAACATAATTTATTAATAGCATCTTCTCATGCAAGGAATAGGTGGAATCCAAAGATCCTATTTTTAGAATCATGAATTCTGTGATTCAGTTTTCCCTCTTTCTGCTCCTCCTCCATTTCTTTTTTTCTCTACATACAACCTTTCTGCTTGGATTTCCAAAGTTTTTCTCCTTTGTTCTTCTTTGCTCTGGTACCATGCCATATTCTTTCATCCTTCACGTCTATCCGATTGTATCCCTTACTCAAATTTCCACTTATTAGGTAATTATTTTCCACTTCACCAGACTCATTATTTTCACTCAATTTAGTTTTGCCCCTCTGCTATTTTTAACTCATTATAATATTTTCCCATCTGGCCTCTAAGTCTTCTCTGTATCCCTCTCACTGAATGGTAAGAGATCAAGTTATTACGGTAGTTGCTCTTTAAATGTTGACTGAATTAAGAATAGCTACATATCGCCGAAACCGGTTTGGCTCAATGGATAGAGCGTTGAGCTGCAGACTGAAAGGTCCTGGGTTTGATTCTGGACAAGGCATGTAGGGGGTGTGCAAGAGGCAGCTGATCGATATTTCTCTCTCATTGATGTTTATACCGCTCTATCCCTCTCTCTTCCTCTGTAAAAAATCAATAAAATATATTTTAAAAAAAGAATAGCTACATATGACCTTAATACTTTAATTCTTATTTAACTAATGTTTCTAATTAAATTGCTTAAAAACATTTTAGAAGCTTATTGAAATGCAATGTATACAAGCTATTTAATCAGGTGAAAGTTTGGAATTTGTTTAATAACATTAAATTAGTAAAATATTAATTTATTAGTACTCACAATGGATGATGTTGCTAAACATGATCCCCCATTAAATAATAGAGTTACTGCTATGCTCTTTTATCATGTTAAATTATGCACTTCTGAAATCCATAAATTATATTTCCATTAAAAAATTTTGGGCATCTGACAGCCATTATATGGACACAGTGTTTCTTGTTGTTTTATACCTACTATGAGATGTACTTATTAAGAACATGATGACAATGATGATGAAGATGGTGATGATGACAACACTGTAGAAATGGAAAAGTCTGACTCCAAAAGGGGAAGGAATACATAGTCTTGAGGTAACTTAATCTTGGTTCTCTGTTGAAACATTTAACAGAAGAATTGATTAGATAATACAACAAGGTCAGAACTTAATGCTAATGACACTTAAAAACACAATAGGGTGTGAATAATTTTGAATTGTTTGAAACAAGCCTTCATTTAAAAGTAACAAATGTCTCAAATGTTACATAATTTATAACACCCTCTTCTTGGCAAACTTGGTTTTTAGGCAGTTTGATTATATTAGTTTAAAAGATATATAGAGTAGATATATTAATTAATTTTTGTCTATACAAATAGAGTGATCTCAACAACTTATTTTCTTAGGGGGAAAATCTTATAAATCTCATTCAACAATGGAATTATACATTTTTTTTCTAGTAAGTTAAGAAATAAAATGTATTAGCACCCTTATATAATGTCAGATCACAAATAAAGACAAAAAATTATTTAAAAGAAATTTCATGTACTATAAAATGTATGATGTTAAGTAATATAAAAATGTAGGTAAAAAGCCTGGCCCCAAAGTTAGAACCTTTTATCTTTTATAATTTAAAAGATAAAAGAAAATTTCATCTTTTATCATTTAAAATTACCTTAAGTAAATTATAGTTATAAATTTAACTAAACAACTTATAGCTACAATTTTAGAAACTCTGAAAACTGTAAATCTATAACTTGACCATGATCATTTTTAGGCTTTATCTATTTACAAAGCCATCAGAAAGTAAAAATTTAATCAATCAATCAGTAGACTTGATTACACGCTATTTTACCAGTTTTGTGAATTTTTCTGTTAATCAGCTGAATTTTGCCAGCATTTTTTAATGTACTAATGCAACTATATGTGAAAATAGTTTTATCTAATAAAGTTATGTGACAGACTATTTCTAATCCTTCACAAAAACTATGAAAACCTTTACATTTGAGCAAGAGTTTGGAATCAATATAGTGAATTAAATAATGTCATAAAGTCCTGTTTACTTGTGGCAGTAGGGCAGACACATATTATTTTCTTTTTTTAAAGCTTTAGAATACAAATTCCATATTGATTTATACAAAAATCTAAAGTTGAGATGGTAGAGATGATTGTGAAATATAGTTATTTCCTTGTGCTGTATGCTCAAAAAAATTACTATGTCTGATTTTTAAAGTTCTAATGTCATTTGATAGAGACAAATTGTCTTTCCTACTTCATATAATGATTGGAATTTTTAAATGTATTTTTATTAAACTGTGAAATAGGTTTTGAAAAACCCAAGGGCACTTAACAGAAGTCTCCTGGGTTATAGTCATCAAGAAGTAAGAGGGAGAAAAGGAGAAAAAAACAGAAGCAGAGGAAGCAGGAGGAAGGGAAGAAGAAAGCATAAGGGGGATGGAGTGGATGAGAAAAATAAAGAAAACTATTTTGCTTTTCAAATCACTTCGTAGGGATGGAAATGCACAAATTGTGTCATTAAATAAGTAACATTTTCAGGGTGAAAACAATAACAAAAATGTTTCTCCACATTAATATAACAGACTACAAAAAGAAAAAAGAAAGGCACAAGGATACTAACCATTATTAAAAACCTCTTTTAGTAAGTTTCAAAATTTACTAAACAGTGTCTGGATGGTAGGGTGGCACTAACCAAATAGAAGATTCCTGAAAATGAAAATTTACATCTTTGAGCTGTTAGCATGTAATCGCATTTAAGTTAGTAAAAGTCATTATAAAATTCACTGTAATTAATGAGGCAACCTGTATTTACACATCTCTCATTCTTAAAACAATGAGGGTCTGGGAACCTTAAAAGTTTTAATTTGACTATATTTGCATTGCTTGTTTTGAAAGCTATCTAATTTTATTTTGGGCATAATAAGACAACACATAATCTGCAGATAATTGTTCTAAATAATGTCATTATTGGTGTTATAGAATACTTTATTCTTAATAACTTAACTATATAATTTATAGGTATGCTTAGTAGATAATAGATGTGACAGCACTTAGAGAAGCACATCATTGTTTAAATATTAGAGATGCAGTTGTAAATATGCCCCACATTGAACAATGACTTAAACTACATTTTTAAGTTAAGATCTTTATATTTAGCACTGTCATTTTGAAAAACAGCCACTGAAGGAAAGCAACCAGTTTGATTTTTTTAAACTTAAACTCATCATTTTCATGTTGAATAAATGTACTCATTTATCATCCAAATTAGAAATAGTCATTTTATATATATATATTTATTTTAGGTCTAGTAATAATTAACGTCGTTTTCTAATACTTTTTAAAATCGAATTTATTTAAACAATACAACAAAATTTAATCAACAATGTAGTTGCCATTGTTTTCTACTACTTGTGCCCAATGCTCAGGAAGCATTTTAATCCCTCTGTTGTAAAATTCTTGTGATTT